AAGAATATTCATTGACTCAAGGAGTTAGAGGAAGTGGTGTCTTCCCGGGAGTATGGGTCTCTTACCAGTTAACGCGGATAAAGGGGATAATGTTGGGAGTTCTCACCAGTCTGCTGTGAAGGACACGGGAGTCACGAAGCAGTTTACTGAGGACTCGGGGGTCACAGGCAGGAGGAGCCGGGCTGGACAGAGTTAGCCTTGCAGTTAGGAGAAGCATGACCACGAGGAGCAATTCTTAGATGAGGAGAGGTGAGGTTGAAAGATGAGGAGGAAATCATTGTCAGCTGGTATTCCAGGAATTCCCATTCAGGACCCAGACCCGAAATCCAGGGAATCCACCCCTCAGACCCCTTATTTTTGAGAGAATGGGTTCCCCCAGCTCCCTGCCCCTGCAGTGTGTCTCCTTTCTCTCTCCCTTTCTGTCATGTTTCCATCTGGCCCTAGCCCCTCAAGAGTGTTCTCACCAGTCAGCTCCATTCTGGCCGGGGTGTCTGGCTGGTGTGGCTCCCTGTTTGGGGCCTCTCCCCTGAATCCTTCCTGGGGCCATGGAGGCGGCTTGGGCTCTTGCACTTCTGGGCAGAGTAGGGTGGGTCAAAGGCGGGCCAAGGATGAGGAATCTATCCTGAAAGTGGCAAGAAGAGTGAACATTTAACCGAGTTTCTAGGAAGAGACTGCCTGGCAGGGTGAACAGATGCTGGGGAGGGCTTGAGATGCTGACCAGCCTGGAACTGCCAAAGGCCTGACTTCTCTCACATTTTCTTATGATGAAAGCATATGGTGTGCCGGGTGCAGTGGCTCACGCCTGTAATCCCAGCACTTTGGGAGTCCAAGGTCAGGAGTTCGCGACCAGCCTGACTAACATGGTGAAACCCCGTCTCTACTAAATACAAAAAAATTAGCAGGGCATGGTGGCACATGCCTGTAATCCGAGCTACTTGGGAGGCTGAGACAGGAGAATCGCTTGTACCTAGGGGGTGGAGGTTGCCGTGAGCTGAGATCCCGCCATTGCACTCCAGCCTGGGCAATAAAAGCGAAACTCCGTCTCAAAAAGAAAAAAAAAAGAAGAAAAGAAAAAAGAAAGCATATGGTGTCTCCTTTTTGTCAGGCCTCCTCCGTGAATCTGACATGGATTTGTTGCCGCCTACCCCTGCTGAGAACAGCAGGACATGGTACGTATACATACATATCTTAATTGGCCTTAAATTCTGAGCAACCTTGGTTGTTAGGTCAGAGAAAATCTGGGATGGGGATAGAGAAGGAAAGTATTGTGGCTTCAGCCTGGAGAAGAGAGTGGAAAATGGGATGCAGGGCCCGGGTGAGGAATTGGCAAACATGCACAATATATTGACGGGTAACTTTTGCAGTGGGGAGTGGGGCTGGGGTGGGAAACTGCACAAAGCTGTAACTGGGACCACTTAGAGGTCAGGATTAAGGGGCAGTATGGGAAAAATTAACCTCTATTCTTTCCCTATGTACCCCCACACATAAAAACCTCTGGAGCTTTTCTTTGGACTCCAAGTCCTGAAATACTCCATTATCTGAGGTCAAGAGATGGGCTAACAGTCCTGGGACTTCCTTCCTGAGGCCAGCTACCCAGGAAGGGGCACCTGCTGGGTGATGCCCACCTTAGGCGCTTACTTTGCCTTGGTCGCCCACTAACATATCTGTCTCATAGCTCACACCTGCCTCCCTGCCCCCTTGGCAGAACCCCTTCCGGTTCCTTCACAGGACCCCCCACATGGCTTCCTCCTCCTTTCACAAGTTGTGCAAAGAGGCTTGCACCTGATTCAATATTGGGATTTCCTGTAGGTCTGTCAACATGCATGGGCCCTCCTCCCATTACCCTCTCCTTGTGCCCTGGCTTGCCTAGCCCAGCTTCCCTAGCGCCAGATTCAGAACCTTAAGCTAACAAGGAATGACCAGCTAAGAATGGGGATTGGGGATGTGCCCATCTTAGTACTGTGTTCGCTAAGCCCGAAGTGCAACTCCCTCTCTTATTTTCTCCCTGGGCTCATGTCCCCTTTCCTTAGGGCCAGTCAGGGCTGTGCTGTATTCCACCAAGTAAGTGATCAGTCCCTCAGAAACCAGCACCCCACCCCCTACCCCTGCTCTGCCCTGCTCCTCCCATTCTGGGAAGGCTACACTCTTCTCGACAAAGGTCAGTGCCTGTAGGTTCCAGTTTGCCTGCCCCTCCCCCAGCTGGGAGACCATTTCTCTTTGCTGTCCTTTATACCCTCACATAACCCCACACCCTGCTGGCCACTCACCGGGTAGAGAAGGGCTCCAGGACCCAAGTGCACAGCAGGCAGCCCTCTGGGGAGCAGATGGGTAGGAAGACATGTGGCAGTGGGGCACAGCCCCTCCACAGCAGGTCACACGCCTGCCTGGGCCACTTCTGCCCAATCAGAGGAGGGAACCACCAGACACTGGCGAAGGCCCCCGGAAGTGACGCCTTCTCTTCCCTGGAGCCCCTGCCTGGACCAGGGTCCACTCCTCCACCCACACACACCATGGAGAAGACTTGGATAGAGGGATTCATCTTTTCCTGGACATGGGCAACCTGGGACCTGGAGGGGGACAGGAGCAGAGGTTTTTTTCCAGGAGGAATCTGGCAGGACATTTGTGTCACTGGGGAAGAAGCCCAGAAGTCTTGTTTTAGATTGGTGAGGTTTTCACTTCCTGGTTATCCAAATTTCTTTTCCCTGGACATCACACCTGCTGCTGAAATCCAACAGGACACTTGCTTTCCTGTTTTTCTTTCTATAACCCCCTAGGGGGTCTTGTCTTGTTATACCCCTTTTCGAAGTGGGAATACGGATATTGCCCACGTGAGAGAAATCTCCTGTTATGGGCTGGTGTTATGGGGAAAGGGTTTAGACTGGTTGAGAGGACTGTCAGGTGCGGGGCGCATATATGTGCGCAGGCATGAACCGGGTTAAGCCTGGACTTAGGTGCTGGTCTGCTGGGGTCTAGTGACTTGGAGGGCTACACACACAGCTCTCTGTGCATGGGGCCCTCCTTTGCTTGTTCTGTCTCCCTCTTCCATCTCCTACCGTTCCACATGTGACAAGAGGAATAACCAGGCCCATGTGTCCCTGTCTTAGGAAAGACAGCTGCTGGACCTCCCCCGCAAATACCTCCCTGCTGGCCCCCCTTTTCCTTTGGCCCTGGCTCTAGCTCCTTTGCTTTCTTCCTAGTCCCAGTCTCCCCACAGTCTCTGTCCTCAGGGGCGTCCCAGCCTGACCTTGTTCCCATCATCCCCCTGTCCCCTAGAACTTCCTCAGACTCTCTCCTGTTCCTCCTCCCCAAGGATGGGCATGTCTGCTGAGAAGTGTGGCCTAGATCCTGGAATTTTCCCGACCAGCCAGACGAGATGTCTCCCAAGATTAGGAAGGAGGGTGCTGGGATAGCTGGGAGGATAGTGGGTGCGTGTGGGTGGGAGAGACAGGGAGGCAGGCATGACCACTGGAACTAAGAGAAAGGAGGCTGGGAGTGGGTTGGAGAGGCAGAGGGTCCCTTGGGTGAAGGAAGGGGGTGAGGAAGCAAGAGGGGATGGTCGAATGGGCCTGAGGATAAGTTACAATGAGAGAGAGACACTGTCATTCCACAGAAAGGGGAATGCTGCCGCTTTCTGGCTAGGTCCGTGTCCTGGGTAACACAAGAATGAGGAGCGACCTCAGAGAGGAGGTAGGGAGGCAGGCTAGGCAGTGAGAGAGGGTGGTGAGGGTTTGAGGGGCGCTGTGGGCCAGGCAGGGGGAGATCAGCTGATGGGCCTTTCCTGTACGTTGTCATCTTTTAAGACAAGTCTTCATCCTTCGGGCGGAACCGGGTCCTGCTCACTGAGCGGTCCAGGCCTCAGGCCTAGCCTCTGCCCCTCCCTGGCCTGAGGCTCCCCTCCTGGGCTGGACACCGACCTCCTGGTCCAGCCGCCCTGTGGCCGCCAGCAGCGGGGGGCTCCGGGCCCGCCTCTCCTCCCCCTCTTCGCGCCCCCTGGTCCCTCCCCTCCCCCTCCCCCGCTCCCCTTCCCCCTCCCGCTCCTCCCTCCTCCCCTGCCCGGTCCCAGGCCCTCCCTCCCCTCCCCCACCCGCGATCCGGGCCGCTGCTGCTGGGCCGGACCCCCCGGGCTCAGCCCGGCCCCTCGCCGAGCTGCCGCCGCCGCCCCGTTTGCTGAGGAGGAGGCCCCCGGCCGGGGCGTCGGGCGCGGGGCATAAAACGGGCCGGAGCCGGCGCCCGGGGCAGTAGAGCCGCGTACGGCCCGGGTCAGCGCCCGACTGCCCGCGCTCCTCCCGGCCGCTCCTCCCGCCCCGCCCGGCCCGGCGCCGACTCTGCGGCCGCCCGACGAGCCCCTTGCTGCACTGCCCCGGCCCCGGCCCCGGCCCCGGCCCCCTCCCGCCGCACCGCCCCCGGCCCGGCCCTCCGCCCTCCGCACTCCCGCCTCCCTCCCTCCGCCCGCTCCCGCGCCCTCCTCCCTCCCGCCTCCCCAGCTGTCCCGTTCGCGTCATGCCGAGCCTCCCGGCCCCGCCGGCCCCGCTGCTGCTTCTCGGGCTGCTGCTGCTCGGCTCCCGGCCGGCCCGCGGCGCCGGCCCTGAGCCCCCCGCGCTGCCCATCCGTTCCGAGAAGGAGCCGCTGCCCGTTCGGGGAGCGGCAGGTAGGTGGGCGCCCGGGGGAGGCGCGGGCGGAGATACAGGCTCGGGGCGAGTCAGCGCCAGTCCGGAGGGGGCGCGGGGCGCAGGTGGCTCGGCGCGGCGGGCGGCCCGGAGGGTGGGCGGGGGCTGAAGGGCGCGGTGCCCGGGACCCGGGACCCGCGGGCAGCCCCGGGGGCGGCACACGGCGCGAGCTGGGCAGCGGCCTCCAGCCAAGCCCGTCCCCGCAGGCTGCTCCTTCGGCGGGAAGGTCTATGCCTTGGACGAGACGTGGCACCCGGACCTGGGGGAGCCCTTCGGGGTGATGCGCTGCGTGCTGTGCGCCTGCGAGGCGGTGAGTGCGCCCCGCGGCCGGCCCGGGCCCTGACTGGTGGGGAGCGCGAGTCGCGCGGACGTTGGAGTGCTGAGAAGGAGCCCAGTCGGCAGATGTTGGGGATGTTTTTCTGGTGGAGGAAGGGGAATCAGCCCCTTCAAGTCTTAGGTGCTGTTACTGATCGCCCACTCTGTGTGAGGCTCTGTGCCAACTCCGTTTCGTTCCCAGCTCACCTAACTCCCATGGCAGCCTTGCTAGATAGCGAGAGTATTATTATCCCCATTTTCCAGACAGGGACCTTGAGGCCCAGAGAGACGAAGTAGCTTGTCTAGGGTCACGCAGATTGTAAGTGGCAGAGCTGGCTGACTCTGCGGGACATCCTTGCCTGGGGGTCTCATCAGTTGGCTTCTTGCGCTCACTTGGGTTTCCCGCCTTTTCCGCGAGCAGCTTCAGTGGGGTCGCCGTACCAGGGGCCCTGGCAGGGTCACCTGCAAGAACATCAAACCAGAGTGCCCAACCTTGGCCTGTGGGCAGCCACGCCAGCTGCCGGGACACTGCTGCCAGACCTGCCCCCAGGGTAAGGCTTGCTCCGCCCTGCGGGGAGGGAGGCAGGGCCAAGGTACTGGGTCCTGGGCCACTTGGATGGGGCTTCGGACTGGCCCTTCCCACGGCCAGCTGAAGCCCGTGTTCTTACCCCGCCCCCTGCAGAGCGTAGCAGTTCGGAGCGGCAGCCGAGCGGCCTGTCCTTCGAGTATCCGCGGGACCCGGAGCATCGCAGTTATAGTGACCGCGGGGAGCCAGGCGCTGAGGAGCGGGCCCGTGGTGACGGCCACACGGGTAGGGGGCTGGCGAACAGCGGGGTTGTGGTTGAGGCTGGGCCACCAAAGCAGCGTTTGACAGTGCTCAGGCCATCTTCCTCCCGTCCCAGACTTCGTGGCGCTGCTGACAGGGCCAAGGTCGCAGGCGGTGGCACGAGCCCGAGTCTCGCTGCTGCGCTCTAGCCTCCGCTTCTCCATCTCCTACAGGCGGTGAGAAAGGGGAAGGAGCAAGGAGGGGTCAGCTGCTGGCCAGGAGGGAAACTGGGAGAGCTGGGAGGGGCTGCTTTTGGCCCAGTCTGGCCTCACCCGACCTCTCATTCCCAGGCTGGACCGCCCTACCAGGGTCCGCTTCTCAGACTCCAATGGCAGTGTCCTGTTTGAACACGCTGCAGCCCCCACCCAAGATGGCCTGGTGAGATGATGTCATTTATGAGCACTTGTCCAGTCTGGGCACTGTGCTGAGAGCATGCTCTGCATTGCCTCCAGTGGTCCTCACCACAGCCCAGTGGGAGGAAGGCACTGACATGATGATGACCATTTTACAGAAGGGGGAACTGAGGCTCAGTAGGAGAATGTGATTTGTTCAAGGTCACACAGCTAGTAAGTGGTGCAGCCAGGACTGGAACCCAAGCATCTGGCTCCAGGGTTCTTTCTTAAGCTTCCTAGGGCACCCTGGAGGTTCCTTTCCATGTTCCTTTTTCATCAGGCCTGCCTGGACCTCCTAATTGGCCTAACCTGCACAGTGTCTGAGCGTAGGGCCTTCTTGTCTCTCTGCTCCAGGTCTGTGGGGTGTGGCGGGCAGTGCCTCGGTTGTCTCTGCGGCTCCTTAGGGCAGAACAGCTGCATGTGGCACTTGTGACACTCACTCACCCTTCAGGAGAGGTCTGGGGGCCTCTCATCCGGCACCGGGCCCTGGCTGCAGGTAGGGAGCAAAGAGCCCTGGGCATGAAGTTCTGAGTTTTCTCTATCCCCCAGGAAAGGGGAGGGGGCGTTCTGACGGGCTCTCATCATCCTCCCTTCCCCAGAGACTTTCAGTGCCATCCTGACTCTAGAAGGCTCCCCAGAGCAGGGCATAGGGGGCATCACCCTGCTCACTCTCAGTGACACAGAGGACTCCTTGCATTTTTTGCTGCTCTTCCGAGGGCTGCTGGAACCCAGGAGTGGGGGTAAGTGGGATGCGGGCAAAACACGTGAGAAGGTTAGGGAGAGCACCTGTCTCAGAAAGACCCACATGTGCGGCCTTGCAGGACTAACCCAGGTTCCCTTGAGGCTCCAGATTCTACACCAGGGGCAGCTACTGCGAGAACTTCAGGCCAATGTCTCAGCCCAGGTGAGCGGGGATCTGGCTCTTGCTGCCACCTGTCTTGGCCTCTTGCTGTTGCCCATCACACCCTGCTCTGTCCCCAGGAACCAGGCTTTGCTGAGGTGCTGCCCAACCTGACAGTCCAGGAGATGGACTGGCTGGTGCTGGGGGAGCTACAGATGGCCCTGGAGAGGGCAGGCAGGCCAGGGCTGCGCATCAGTGGACACATTGCTACCAGGAAGAGCTGCGACGGTGAGGCAGGGCTGGGAGGGCCTGGTGCCCTGGGTGTGCACAACTGAGAGGCACAGACACGTGCCAGGGAAGGGGCCAGGGTGGGTATGGGAGAGATCCTGAGGACTGGCGGTGTAAGTGGCCATGGGTAAGCCTAGCCTCACCTGTCTTGCCCCTCCATAGTCCTGCAAAGTGTCCTTTGTGGGGCTGATGTCCTGATCCCAGTCCAGACGGGTGCTGCTGGCTCGGCCAGCCTCACGCTGCTAGGAAATGGCTCCCTGATCTATCAGGTAAGAGCCAGGGGCTGCAGAAGGTAGGGGAGAGGTGGGGTGGGCAGCAGGCCCAGGCCTTTACTGTCCCTCCACTTTGCCCTCCTTCATCCCTGCCCCTCAGGTGCAAGTGGTAGGGACAAGCAGTGAGGTGGTGGCCATGACACTGGAGACCAAGCCTCAGCGGAGGGATCAGCGCACTGTCCTGTGCCACATGGCTGGACTCCAGCCAGGAGGACACATGGTGAGGGCTCCAGGTTGCTTTACCCCAGGGCCCGGTGCATGGGCTGTGGGAAGCCAGGTTGGATGAGCAGGGATGTTCATTATCATCCACTCATGGATTCTCCCACTCATTCTTTTATTCATTTGACTTTTTTTTTTTTTTTTTTTTTTTTTTTTTTGGGAGATGGAGTCTTGGGGCTGTCTCGCCCTCGGGCTGGAGTGCAGTGCATGATCCGGTTCAAGTGGTTCTCTTGCCTCAGCCTCCCGAGTAGCTGGGACCACAGGCATGCGCCACCATGCCCAGCTAGTTTCTGTATTTTTGGTAGAGATGGAGTTTCACCATGTTGGCCAGGATGGTCTCGATCTCTTGACCTTGTGATCTACCCGCCTCGGCCTCCCAAAGTGCTGGGATTACAGGCGTGTAGCCACTGCGCCCGGCCTGATTTGACATTTTTAGTGAGCCCCAGACTAGGGACTAGAGTACAAAGCAAATCAGATGTAACCCCTGTGCTCAGCAAGCTCACAGTCAAATGGGAGGCATTGGACCTGGAGAACAGTGTCATAGGCCGCATAGTAGTAATTGTAATGGCAATGGTTGCTACTTATAGGGCCTTTCTATGTGCTAGGTGCTGAATTGGTGGCCTTACATATTTTTTGACTTTCACAGTACGCATTTTATAGATGAGGAAGTGAAGGCTTGGAGAAATGAAGTAACTCTTCAAGGTTGTTACATAGCTAGGAAGTAGCAGGGGAGGGCCATGAAACTGGGCCTGCCAGGTCCTTATCCTGTGTTTCTGGTGTGTGGAAGTGTGTGTGGGTGGAGTGGGGGCACAAAATGACCCAAGGTTTCAGAACCTGGGGCTCCTGTGAGAGCTGAGGAAGGCCTGTCCTCCCCTGCCCCCCCAGGCCGTGGGTATCTGCCCTGGGCTGGGTGCCCGAGGGGCTCATATGCTGCTGCAGAACGAGCTCTTTTTGAACGTGGGCACCAAGGACTTCCCAGATGGAGAGCTTCGGGGGCACGTGGCTGCCTTGCCCTACAGTGGGCATAGCGCCCGCCATGACAGTGAGTGTCCTTAGGGGTCTATCGGCCCCTTGGTTTCCTAGAAAATTTGAGGGATGGTGGCAGACAGCCAGAGCCTGGTGTGTCTTTCTTCAGATGCCTTTCCGGTTGCCATCTGAAAGTGGGGACATATAGGGTGGCCCTGCTGGCAGACTCTTCCTGTTGCCGAGGTGCAAGGGTCTAAAACTTGCTGCTCTCCAGGCCCTGGACTTTTGGACAGTGTCTAACAGCTCCTGGAATGTGTGCTGGGGAGCTGGGGAATGCTGGGTTTGAGGGCTTGCCGTAGGCCACCTTCTCACCTGTCATCTCTCCTCTGTCTGGACCCAGGGCTGCCTGTGCCCCTAGCAGGAGCCCTGGTGCTACCCCCTGTGAAGAGCCAGGCAGCAGGGCATGCCTGGCTCTCCCTGGATACCCACTGTCACCTGCACTATGAAGTGCTGCTGGCTGGGCTTGGTGGCTCAGAACAAGGCACTGTCACTGCCCACCTTCTTGGGCCTCCTGGAACGCCAGGGCCTCGGCGGCTGCTGAAGGGATTCTATGGCCCAGAGGTAAGGATGTGATGGTAGGCGTCTGCTTGGAACATTTCTGCGTTTTAGCTTGAAGGGCTGTGTGGGCCTATGGTGGGGGAAGCAGAGAGCAGGCAGCCTGGTATAGAAGAGCTGGCGTAAATAAAATAAATTAAACAGTGATTTGTAGGCTGGGTGCAGTGGCTTATGCCTGTAATCCCAACACTTTGGGAGGCCAGGCAGGTGGGTCACCTGAGGTAGGAAGCTCAAGACTAGCCTGGCCAACATGGAGAAACCCCATCTCTACTAAAAATACAAAAGTAGCCAGGCGTGGTGGCGCATGCCTGTAATCCCAGCTACTCCAGAGGCTGAGGCAGGAGAATCGCTTGAACCCAGGAGGCGGAGGTTGCAGTGAGCCGAGATCGCGCCATTGCACTCCAGCCTGGACAACAAGAGCAAAACTCCGTCTCAAAAAAAAAAAAAAAAAAGGCTGGCATGGGCTTGGGAGTCAGATAGACCTGGGCATGACTCTGACTCAGCTTTTTATTATTCATTCTCTTTTCTCTGTCTTTCTTTGGTGGGGTATCTTGGATAGTATGTAATATCCTGGACCTCAGCAGGGTAGGTGGGATGGACTAAGCCCTTCAAGTGGGGTGAGTGCTCATGGACTTGGAGTCCGAGAGACCTGGCTTCCAAGCTCCACACTATTGCCAATGGGTTTTGCTACCCTGAAGACTTTATTTAGCCTCCCTGGCTCTCAGTTTCTTCATCTGTGACTTGGGGAAGTAGGCTCAGCCCTAAAGTGCCTTATTCCCATCCATTATCCTGTCTCTGTGCAGGCCCAGGGCGTGGTGAAGGACCTGGAGCCGGAGCTGCTGCGGCACCTGGCAAAAGGCATGGCCTCCCTGCTGATCGCCACCAAGGGTAGCCCCAGAGGGGAGCTCCGAGGGCAGGTAGGTGGGGAGTGTGGACAGTGGGGGCAGTGGGGAGGGTGCAGAGTTGGGGGGGCACTGTGTGCCCTTGTACTAGTCACTTGCTGTCTCTGAGTCCTGGGGGGTGGTCATATCACACCTCCCGGCTGGTGGGGAGGATGAAGACAGACAAGCTACATGAGGAGGCTGGCAGCCCAGCACCCTATTCCTGGCAGCTGGAATGATTGTGGAGCGAACGGCATCCTCCTGGGCCACTGCAGCGCTCAGGGTGCCGAGGTGTCTGCTGTTGGCTGGCCAGCTGCCGCTGGTAAAGACGCGAGGGGGAGCCCCAGCGCCACCTCAATTGGCCTCTCCTCCCAGGTGCACATCGCCAACCAATGTGAGGTGGGCGGACTGCGCCTGGGGGCAGCTGGGGTCGAGGGGGTGCGGGAGCCGGGGGCTCCGGATACAGCCGCTGCTGTGCCACCTGTGGTGCCTGGTCCCCCGGCCCTAGCGCCTGCCAAACCTGGTGGTCCTGGGAGGCCCCGAGACCCCAACACATGCTTCTTCGAGGGGCAGCAGCGCCCCCACGGGGCTCGCTGGGCACCCAACTACGACCCGCTCTGCTCACTCTGCACCTGTCAGGTAGGAGGTCCTGGAAGGGCACATTGTGTCCTGGGATCTGGGGCAAGGGGCCTGGACTCTCCTGTCAATGCCTCTGTCCCTCTCTGCAGAGACGAACGGTGATCTGTGACCCGGTGGTGTGCCCACCACCCAGCTGCCCACACCCAGTGCAGGCTCCCGATCAGTGCTGCCCTGTTTGCCCTGGTGAGTTCCCTGCAGGGGAGTGGAGGGAGGAGTTGGCCTAGTGTGGACCAGTCCTTTGGGGAGGGAAGGAGGTCGGTCACCCTCTGCTTTCACCATTTCTTTGGCTCCACAGAGAAACAAGATGTCAGAGACCTGCCAGGGCTGCCGAGGAGCCGGGACCCAGGAGAGGGTGAGCTGGAAGGGTGCGTGCAGGGTGGAAGGCCCCAGAGGAGCCATTAGGTTGAACCAGGAGGGGGACAAGAAGGGGAGAGTATATAGGGGGTGGCCTGAGGGGCACAGATTCCAAGCAATACCTGACAGAACTCATTAGTGTTACTGGCCCCCAAATGGGCCCTTGTCTTAGGCTCATGTGGGGGTGGCCTGAGGCTCAAGCCTTGGTTGTGGGCCCAGCTGATGAGCTCATACTAACGGCCGCTGGGCCCTGTTCCCCACCAGGCTGCTATTTTGATGGTGACCGGAGCTGGCGGGCAGCGGGTACGCGGTGGCACCCCGTTGTGCCCCCCTTTGGCTTAATTAAGTGTGCTGTCTGCACCTGCAAGGTATGGCCACCCAATCTTCTCTGGTGCCATAACCCAGCGGGGTCTGCAGAGATGGGGAGGGGCTGCCAGGTGAGGAAGGCCCGTCCTTGCTGAGGAGGGCTAAAGGATCAAACCGATATGAGAAAAGGCCCTTGTGCTCTGAGAGTTGGCTTCCTGTGGGAAAAGGAACAGGGCTGACCTGGGTGTGGATTCTGGCTCTGCCAGCTAACTAGTGCCGATGACCCTAGGCACCTTCTGTCCCTGAGCCTCACTTTCCTCTCCTGTAAGCAGATATGATGGCAACTACCTTGCAGGGTTCCGATGAGAAGCTGAGTTTAGGTCTATAAAGCAAGCCCGGGCCTCTGAGTAAAAGGCCACAGGGAGACGGCATCTGAGGTGTGGAATAGGAGAGGAAGCGGGCAGGAGGTTTATGTGCCCCCTGCCTGACACTCCTTGCTTAATGGATTCCCTACAGGGGGGCACTGGAGAGGTGCACTGTGAGAAGGTGCAGTGTCCCCGGCTGGCCTGTGCCCAGCCTGTCCGTGTCAACCCCACCGACTGCTGCAAACAGTGTCCAGGTGAGAGAGGTGGCTGGGCACTGAGGCCTCACCTTTGGGTTGAAGCAGGCCTAGTCCTGGATGAGGGGAAGGGTGCTCAGCTAATTGAGCATTTACTGAGCACTGCTCTGTGCCTTACCTGGAGCCAGGACTCTAAATGCTGTGGAAAGAATGTGATATTCTAGTGGGGTATGATGGGTTCTGGTTCCTCCTCCATCCATCCATCCATCCATCCATCCATCCATCCATCCATCCATCCATCCATCCCTTCATCTGTCCATTCATCTGTCCACCCACCCATCCAAATTTATCACCTACTGAGTGCCAGAAACTGCTAGGTGCTGGGGATTCAAAAAGAATACTCAAAAAACCAGGCTGGTCCTCCTGGGCTGACCCTTTCTCTTTCTCTCTCAACAGTGGGGTCGGGGGCCCACCCCCAGCTGGGGGACCCCATGCAGGCTGATGGGCCCCGGGGCTGCCGTTTTGCTGGGCAGTGGTTCCCAGAGAGTCAGAGCTGGCACCCATCAGTGCCCCCTTTTGGAGAGATGAGCTGTATCACCTGCAGATGTGGGGTAAGTGGGGAGCCTGGTCTGGAGTAGGGAGGCCTTCCCAGGGAGGTCCCTGAAGAAGCTGAAGGCCACTGTGTCCCTGTGCCTCTGGGGGACCCTCAGTGTCTGCTCTGTCTTGTACCAGGCAGGGGTGCCTCACTGTGAGCGGGATGACTGTTCACTGCCACTGTCCTGCAGCTTGGGAAAGGAGAGTCGATGCTGTTCCCGCTGCACAGCCCGCCGACGGCGTAAGTGAGGGAGTCCAGGGTCAGCAGCTGTGAGTGGAGGGCTGACCTGCCCGTGGGACTCCTGATCAGGAAACGGAGCATTCAGTGTGTGCAGCAACAGTGCAGCCTGCCTCACAAGTGCCATTCCAATCCACCCTCACAGCAACCTGGTGGAAGTGTTATTTATGACCTTTTCTTTACAAATGAGAAGCTCAGAGGAATTAAGCAACAAGATGAAGGTCACCCAGCTGTGTGCACTGACCTGTTTAGAAAATGCTGGCCTTTCTGGGACCAAGGCAGGGATGCTTTGCCCTGCCCTCCATGCCTCTCTGTGCCTCTCCACTCCCTCTCCCCTCCTCCAACATTCCCTCCCTTCTGTCTCCAGCAGCCCCAGAGACCAGGACTGATCCAGAGCTGGAGAAAGAAGCCGAAGGCTCTTAGAGAGCAGCCAGAGGGCCACATGACCAAGAGGATGGGGCCTGAGCTGGGCAAGGGGTGGCATCGAGGACCTTCTTGCATTCTCCTGTGGGAAGCCCAGTGCCTTTGTTCCTCTGTCCTGCCTCTACTCCCACCCCCGCTACCTCTGGGAACCACAGCTCCACAAGGGGGGGAGGCAGCTGGGCCAGACCGAGGTCACAGCCACTCCAAATCCTGCCCTGCCACCCTCGGCCTCTGTCCTGGAAGCCCCACCCCTTTCCTTCTGTACATAATGTCACTAGCTTGTTGGGATTTTTAATTTATCCTCACTCAGCACCAAGGGCCCCCGACACTCCACTCCTGCTGCCCCTGAGCTGAGCAGAGTCATTATTGGAGAGTTTTGTATTTATTAAAACATTTCTTTTTCAGTCTTTGGGCATGAGGTTGGCTCTTTGCGGCCAGGAACCTGAGTGGGGCCTGGTGGAGAAGGGGCAGAGAGTAGGAGGTGAGTGAGAGGAGCTCTGACCCTTGGGGAGCAGAAAGAGACCTGGAGAGGCAGAGGATAGTGTGGCAGTTGGCTGACACACCTGGGTTCCACAGATGCTCCTTGAGATGGTCTAGAGACTCAAGAATTTAGGGAAATAGAAGCAAGTTTACTTTCCCACATCGCTGGCATGTTTGCTAACTTCATGTTTGAAGTTGCTCCAGAGAGAATCAAAAGTGTTACCAGCCCCTTTCTCTCTCTCTGCCTCCCTCCCTCCTTCCCTCCCTCTCTCCTTCCTTCCTTCCTTCCTTCCTTCCTTCCTTCCTTCCTTCCTTCCTTCCTTCCTTCCTCACACCAATGGGGTCTTGCTATGTTGCCAAGGATGATCTTGAACTCCTAGCCTCAAGTGATCCTCCTGCCTTGGTCTCCCAAAGTGTTGGGATTACAGGCATGAGTCACCACACCCAGCCCAGCCTCTACCTTCTTTGTCTAAAGTGAGGCAAATACTTTCCTGTTTTTTTCCTGGAAACTTGTGTTCTGGACCAGTTCTGGGGCAAACTGGGGTCACAGTGGATTGGAATCAGCTCTGGTCCAGCTTTTGGTTGCACTTACGTTGAGACCAAAGTATATGGAGAATAAGACAAGACCCTCCTGCCCTGTTACCCTCTTCTCTCTCCCCTCCCTCATTCCTACCATCAAGACCCAGGCATTCTGACAAGCTCTAGGAAATGAGGGTATCAGAACAGAAATCTAACAAATGTATGTAGCTGCAGATCCATCTTTCATATAAACAATGTGGAGTCAAATGAATCTGGGATTTTATGATCTGGCAAGGCAGGGGAAAGGGAAATCATAGCTTCCTTATAGAGTGTTAGGCATGCTGTGTGTGGTTAAGAAGTTATTGTCTTAGCCCATTGAAGCATCGAGTTCCAATTCTGCTGTTAACTAGCTGAGTTATTTAACTTTCACGAACCCCTGTTTCCCTTTTATAAAACACATGCTATCCGCCTCACAGGATTCAATCAGAACACGTGCATTACACGGCTCAGGGCCTGGCACGTATTCGCTGCAAAGGGCACTCTCCCTGAGGTGGAATTTGTGGGGCTGGTTTGGAATGAAGGCAGGGGAGAACCGCAGGGAGGAGAGTGGCTATGGACTTCAGTTGCATTTGGCAACTGATATCCTGCTGAATGCTTAGGGGAGAGGAGGGGCTGGACTGAGGATGCAGGGATGATAAAGATGGGGATAACAACTTGGACCAGAGCCCTGGCTCTTAATAGGAGGATCGTGAGGGCCAGATAGGGATGAAAAAGCAGCAGTATTCAGCACGGGGTTAAGTGTGGCAGTGAGGCACCAGTTGTGATATGATGAAGGTTTGGCCCAGAAATGGTGCACTGACAGTGTTGTCCTCCTTGGTGAGGAACTTTGGTGGGAAGAAGGGTTGGAAAGGGAAATTTTGATCCTTGGATTTAACCCGAGTTTGTTTCTGATGGTCACAACACTAGGGGAGGGATAGAGGCAGGTGAGTCACTGTAGGATGGCTCGGTGGGCTCCACCGAGCTGGAACCACAGGCACCAGGTGGGATTCCGAGCAGGCCTCAGTGCACGTGAGTGAACCAATGAGCAGGCGATGGGACCAGGCAGAGCACTGTCCTCTTTAGACAACAACCCTTGAAACACCTTTCCCATCCTAGCCTGTGTTCCAACCAAAGCTGGACAGTCTCCAGGCCCTGCCTGAGCCCCAGGGAAGTGGTATGGTGACTCAGAAGGGCCAGCCCTGTGCAGTGTGTGAGGAACTTCATTTCAGACCTGTTGGAAGCCCTGATGTTCAGAGACCTCAAGAACATCATTCATTTTCCCCATCCATTCAATGCCCATTCAATGCCCATCCATTCAGTGCCCCATCCATTCCCCTCAGGCAACTGCACATCGGTTAGACAACCTTTCCCTTTCTGGAAAACCAAACCAAAAACCCTACAACAGCAGCAAAATCCAAGCAGAGGCCCATTTTCCTGGGTTTAATATTTCAGGGTCTCAAAATGGTTACCTGTAGTATTTAAAATTTGATCTCTCACCCTGGGGTCAGTCAGGCCTACATTGCAGAGGGTTTGACTCGACCACCGAGCTTTTCCAGCAGGGATGGTTCTGATACACCATTTTTTGAAGAGAAAACTCCTTCATGTGCAGTAATCTACTTTGCCAAGTTCTCCTTGTGCGACCACCTCTTAGGCATTCCCTAGTGACACTCCGCCCACTTTTAGTATACCAAATCCAGATTGTGCTAAGGTAGGTGATGAACATAGACCAGTATGGAGCTATGGCATGGTGGTGCTGCTGGCAGCCATCAGTTCACGTTTGTCCATGTCACTAGAGCAGGGTCTGTGCAATGACTTAAGAACAATAGTTTTCAAATCTTGGCCATGGATATGTGAAATTGTCACAGGGCAGAGGGATAGATGGGAGTTCCAGGGACCTCCTGGGAGTGGGGAGGGCCGAGGCAGGCGGATCACCTGACGTCAGGAGTTCAAGACCAGCCTGTCAACATGATGAAACCCCATCTCTACTAAAAATACAAAAAGTTAGTCAGGCGTGGTGGCGGGTGCCTGTAATCCCAGCTACTTGGGAGGTCGAGTCAGGAGAATCGCTTGAACCCGGGAGGCGGAGTTTGCAGTGAGCTGAGATCATGCCATTGCACTCCAGACTGGGTGACAAGAGCGAGACTCTGTCTCAAAACAAACAAACAAACCAGGAAAACTAGCAGATATGTTCCTTGCCAGTCACGACCCATGATCATAAGATGTTTACGGCTCAAGAAACAGCTTCACGATGCCTGCAAAGACAAACTCCTATGACAGCAGAATGTCCTGATGTCCCCATATCACATAACAATGTATGCTTTTATGATGGTTATAGTCAGCCTTTGATGCACTTACGCACTAAAATGCCAAGGATAGTTTTCTTTAAATCAGCAACACAATAAATGTCATGCTGTCAGCCCCCCACATGTAGACACAGCTTAGCTTTTACATGGATAAGAACCCTATATAAGAAAACCTTAGGCCAGGTGCGGTGGCTCACACCTGTAATCCCAGCACTTTGGGAGGCCCAGACGAGTAGATCACTTGAGGTCAGTAGTTTGAGACCAGCCTGGCCAACATGGTGAAACCCCTTCTCTACTAAAAATACAAAAATTAGCCCGGCATGGTGGCACACGCCTGGAATCTCAGCTACTCTGGAGGCTGAGGCAGGAGAATCGCTTGAACTTGAGAGGCGGAGGTTGCAGTGAGCCATGACTGTGGCCATTGCCCTCCAGCCTGGGTGACAAGAGTGAAACTTCGTCAAAAAAACAAAACAAAACAAACAAACAAACAAAAAAACCTTAGAAGAGGCGTTCCTCCTCTTGCTTTCTGAAGACACTCTACGCTGAAACAGTAGCTTTCAATGAACGATCTCTTCTCACCGCACTCTGCGATTTGCCTTGAATTCCTTTATGTGCAAGATCCAATAACCCTCTCTTGCAGTCTGGATGAGGATCCCTTTTTTTGGCACAACAAAAGTGGCAGAAAGGAGAGGTCTTATCGTGTAATAAAATTAAGGCAAAGAAGGATTTCTCTGGGCATGCTGAAAGAGACACAGTTTTGCTTGTCAAATATTAGGTAGTCATAGATGATGTGTGACGAAAAAAGCCTGTGTGTACAGAACGCCTACATAGAGGATATTATGGAGTGCTGGAAATACATTGTTAGGGATGACAAAAGGGGAGGACTTATTAGAGACTGTGGAATGACTGTGCTGCTCTGAGAATGGAGCTTACAACATTGTTTGACTTTGATACGTTTTCACGTACAAAGGGACCTGCCAGAATTATTTTTGCTCATCATAAAAGTAAATCGTTGTTAACAATTATGGTAATATACAAATATGTGAGAAAGAAAGAAAAATCCACCTGTTATTCCAACTCCTGGATAGCCAATCACTCTTGAAAAAAGATTACTGATGGCTGGGTGCGGTGGTTCACGCCTGTAATCCTAGCACTTTGCAGGGCTGAGGCAGATGGATCACCTGAGGTCAGGAGTTCGATACCGGCCTGGCCATCATGGTGAAACCCCATCTCTACTAAAAATACAAAAATTAGCCAGGTGTGGTGGTCCGTGCCTGTAATCCCAGCTACTCGGGAAGCTGGGGCAGCAGAATCATTTGAACACTGGAGGCAGAAGTTGCAGTGAGCCAAGATCGTGGGATTGCGCTCCAGCCTGGGGGACAGAGCAAGACTCCATCTTAAAAACAAAAAAAAGGCCAGGCGCGGTGGCTCACGCCTGTAATCCCAGCACTTTGGGAGGCCAAGGCGGGCGGATCACGAGGTCAGGAGATCAAGACCATCCTGGATAACACGGTGAAACCCCGTCTCTACTAAAAATACAAAAAATTAGCCGGGCGTGGTGGCGGGCGCCTGTAGTCCCAGCTACTCAGGAGGCTGAGGCAGGAGAATGGCCTGAACCCAGGGGGCGGAGCTTGCAGTGAGCCGAGATCGCGCCACTGCACTCCAGCCTGGGCGACAGAGCGAGACTCCGTCTCAAAAAAAAAAAAAAAAAAAAAAATCACTCAGTATTTTTCTAAATTTTAGTTAGTGAAAACTTCATTACTCAGCTTTGGCCCCACTCCCACTCCCACGCCAGTTTCTACCCCTACATTGCCTTCTGCAGTGCCTTGATCCTCACCTGGGAAGGGCTGTGATGTCCCAACACAGGGTATTCGTGCGATAGCTTCAGGAGCAGGAGTGCACTTCTTTCTGCACAAATAAGGAAAGCTATGGAGTACATTTAAGGGAAATCTGACCTTTTGCATTGAGAACAGCCAGGGAGGTACAAAAACAAAAAGTTTGAAAAAAATCTTCCCTAGCTTAGAGAATTGGGCAAATTTTCTGCAAATTGCCTAGAGCTCCCTCAG